ACACCGACTCCTTTGAACCAAATGCAATCGGCTACATATTTCTGGTATTAAAATACACACGTGATAAGATGCTTAAAAATGGCACAAAGATACAGCGAAAGAATGAACAGTATTTCACCTGAATTGTAAGATCAAATTCGAACCTATTCACTAGCTAACAGAAATCACTTTTTTCTCTGTCATTCTCGGATTGACTATGATATTAAGTTCACAATGCCAATGGCCACAAGCTGTCACCTACAGCTTCTTCCTTCGCTCAGCTTGATCGCATAGGTTCTTTACCTTATTGTATCATTGATCATTGGTCGGCGAGCGACGAACAGCCCATCCAACCCCTCCACCTCCACTCGGTAACTCATTCAAAAAGTACTTTTGTTTGTTTTCGGAGAAGTGAGTTCGTTCATTCGAACATACCAATCTTCTATTTACTCCGTCATCGAAATAGGCAGTTATAAGACAATAACCAAAAGTTAAATTGAAACCGTTTGCTTCTCTCTGAAAAAAAGATTGCGCCAAACAGTTGGCGATCGCACTCAAACTGATGTTAGGTATATCACAGGTGTTATATTTCAGTCTCTCACTCTTTTTTCTAGCCACGGTACTCAAATCCATCAAATTTGGGGAATCAGATGTCCGAACTGCTACCGATTATTTTCCCGAGGGAACAAATGCACCAAGCAGTAGTGAACAGTCTACCCCTATACTGAGAGGCGAGGACAAGTGCTGAAACGGATTCCAAATTGTATGAAACCTGCATTGAGGTGTAGTTTTTGTCTATAGCAGCGAAAGTTGTCCTCGTGCACCGGAAACAGCCCCCACGGCTTCTCAAGGCGACGGAGATAACCGTTCAGACGTGAGGAAAGTTTCAAAATGAATGCCCGACTCCGATCGAAATGAGACAAGGTATTCGGGACAGCGGAAAATATATAACTTGTGGGAATCTCAATCTTTGATGTCAAACGAGTCGCGTCTGAAAAAGGACTCAAGAACGATGATCATGATGATGATGGGTGAAGAACAACACCCGAGAAGCGATTAAGGACAAATTGCAATGAGGGATGGGCAGGTGAAACGACATGCTTAGGCATAACTGGAGCAAAATATCCCGAGAAATGGGGTTGGGTTTGGAGGGGAACTTACCTCAAGTTTCCCTGGACGAAATCCAATACCCTCCGGTAGATCATGACACAGAGCAAATGCACCCGGACTGAAGTGCAATTCAACATGAAATCGCTTCTCCGTTTTCGGTTCCTGGGTGATGGGATGGGGGGGGGCAATAATAAGCAATCCGGGCAAATGTGAGAGAAATCAACCGTAGACACTTTCCTTTTCCTTTGGCACTACATGTCATCAACAATACACGAAAGGCGTAAAGCAACCCCGGATTTTCGTATTACCATGACTGTACGGCCGAAAGGCGAGATAAACAAGAGCATTACGGATCCATGGGGCCCTATATTTACCATATAACATTTGCATCCTCCCTCCCACCATAACGCGCACGTAATTCTACAAGCTATGTTCGGGAACGATTTTCCAACCCGAAACAAAGAAGAAAAAAGAATGGAAATCATGCGGTGATCCGAAAAAGCGCGGTAGATTAAACGGTATTTATCACAAAATGAGGAAAACGACTTACCCATCCTACAATCGATTATACTGAGTGCAATTAGCTCATGAGCGCATTAGCCACCGACACACGCATCTATAAGTAAAATGGGCATTCTGGTTCCGGCTGTATTTCTGCGAACCGCGGATAACAGATGTTTGTTTTTGGCTAGATCCGTGCACTTTTGCATGAATGAATGCGTTAAAATCAAGCTTGCCAATAGTTGGATAAAATAACCCACTGAGGAAAGTGCATCCAGTGTTTTTAAAATTCAGCTAGAATACCTAAATAAACATTGAACACGTATATGCGAATTGAATAAATCGTACTGACAACCGTTTTTTTATCGCACACTTTCGTGTGATGAACAGCAGACAGGGAAAGCCCCATAGTCACGAGGACCTGCTGTTCAGTGATGGAAACCGGTAACCTAAGCCCCAGGACTTGGAGTGGTGAACCACATAAGGCCCCCATAAGTTAGGTGTGGTATTGAACCGGACGATGGCAAAGATGCCTACCACCAAAGTCCAGTTTATCAGAGCAGATTTTTAATTATCATTCAGAACAATCATGTAACCTAAACAGGTAAGAGATAAAATGGTGAAAAAGTTTCAAAAACGTTGGAAAAAGTTTGCGATTTCACAACAATCAAATTGTGAAAACACTGCCGGGGCACCAAACGACTGACGATAACGACATAAAGTGGATCTATAGCATGCCTGGAACGAGATTTAACTTTAGCGCCATGTGCCATCGACCCACACTAATTTGCCGGTCGAGACAGTCCTGTCTGTCATTGTGCAGAAAAAACTTCGTGTTCAGGTAATATATTGCAGATACGCAGAAGTCATTCCCAAAACAAAAAACGTACAAAAGAAGAGTCACTTCGAATCCAGGTCGGTGGCGATCATTTGCGCGTTGACCATTTTCTAGACCCCCTTACACACACACACACACACACACACACACACACACACACACACACACACACACACACACACACACACANGGGAGGACGCGAGTGTGTGTACGGTGTAGAGTATTTGGCTTTAGTTGAAGAAACAGTAAACTGGATGCGCGAACAATTCGAAGAGTTCATCATTGTTGGCGTTGTGGGCTGTTGTACTACTCGTTCGCCCGGTCCAGAGTGCGCAATTATATTTGCAGCATTATGAGGGCAGGAGACAGCTGCTGTGTGTAGAACAGGGGCATCGTTTGCAGCATCATTGAATTGGCGAATGGGATCGTCCCACATTTCAAGCTGGCAGGTTCTCCTTCGATTTGAGACGGTAAAACGTTCTCCCCTTGTTGTGGTCCACAAATGAATGATTCACTTGCCATACATGGCTGTGGCCAGGTTGATTGATTGATCGATTGACTGTTTGAATGCTGGCTTGACGCCATTCGCATGTAGTGAAACGTGCGAGCCAGAGTTGGCCTGCATGCTTGCCTTCTTACACGCTGATCGTTCCTACTTGTTCCTCGCTTTGCGTCCCGGCTACATATTTGTCGGTTACAATAAACGTGTTATTCCATTCATTGTGTACTCTTCTACCTACCTAATTTGGAACACAAAACCCCTCTGCACACACACACACACACACACACACACACACACACACACACACACACACCAAGAGCAAACAAGCTCACTGAGTGAACAAATTAAGACAGTCTGTACAATGGTCACCCTGGGAGAAAGAATCATACTTCTGTCAGTTAGGAGAATCCCTGAATCACCACTATTGTCGTCCAGTCGAATGAGAGAGGGGGGGAAGAGAGCAAAATCTTACCTCTGTCGGATCCTCATAAATCATGATCACTATTTGAGCAAGGTAATTGATCTCCGATATGGACGAGACGTAATCCATTGCACGTCGCCATTGCTCGTCTGTAGTCACATCGGCCAATTCACCATAACGTAGACAAGTGAGCAGCGAGTGCAGGTGACTTTCACTGGTGAAATATAACCGGGTTCGAACAAATCGTTCGGGTGACGCGACTCCCTTCGAATAACTGTCCGGATCGAATATTCATCATAAGTGAACCAAATAAGGCAATCCGAGCGATCAAAAAGTGAAGTGTATGAGTAGGCACATAAGAAACAGAAAGGGAAAATCCAGAGAGACAAGATAAGAGACTGAAAAATTTCCGTAAATTAGGGATAAAGAGACACACCGCAAAAAAGATTGTTAGCTCTGGAGAACCTTGAGTTTGTTAGCTGTGTGGGTTAGTTCGATCGACATATTTTGAAGTCGTGACCGATATTGGTCGTGTTCAAAATTAGGTTAGAAATGACACCTAATGTCACATGCGCATGAAAAGGTATATATTCATGTGAATGCATATTACCTAAACGGCCGTGTACACGCAGACGGTACCTCTCTCCCCCGCTCTAGCAAAACAATTGATAACATTCGCGGTGTGGGCTAGAGAACAAAAATTGGTTAGGATGAACGATCTGATCTACAACAAGTACCACTACTTTGACTGCTACTACTACTACATTTAAGCACCATGAGTAGCAAGTGCATTGTCCGACTGGGGTTCGTGAAAAATTCGTCTCAAACACGCGAACTACGTGTGTGGGCTACCCACCACTCAAATACCGCTCTCTATCGCACTAGGTTGGTTGATAACAAACAAATCAGAAAGCAAAACAGAGGGAAATAACTACATGAACAAACTAAAAGTCAATACACACTGAAAGAATATACCGATATGATACAAGAACGATAACAACCGAAAAATGGAGAGTAATGAAAAAATTAACTAACTATCTGAAGAATACTCATGAGTTACATTTGAGAGTTTTTGTTAAGCATAATATTGAAAGCGGAATTCACAATCAACCGGATGAAGTGTTAACAGAATCGATAGATGAGAGTCGAGTAACACTGAAAAATCGCATGCAGACCACAGTGTCTGATCACATCGAACCGCGATACCTTATGGTAGCCCCAGATCCCACACATCGAAACCCACAGGTAGTGAAGTACCTCGAGATCGAGAGAACAGCAGGCAAGACTGGGATGAGAACTGGGGCAGTGCAATGCAGGTGGCACAACCGGGAGTGGGAGGAGCAGTCCATGAAGAATAAACGATGACATGCACAGGAAGAGGCAGTAGGCAAGACATAAACACAGATGAAAGTTGGCGGCGGCGGCAAAAATTCCTAGGTCGTCGGTTAGGAGCTAAATGACATTCATAGCCCGATTATAACACATAAGACAAACACGTGGATAGACCGGATGAAAGGAGGGGCATGAGCAACGAACATGGTTGACTTTGAGCCAAACTGTACGCCCAGAAGATGTTGAATACGGAGACGTGGATAAATTACTAGGGCGAAAAACTCCGACGGAAATTTTTTTGATTTTGATAGTCAGTGGAATCTATGCTATACCAAGCGAGGCACATTTCAACTTCAGTGAGCGTGTGTCGGTGCTCAAACCGTTTCAGAATAAGGATGAGTCCCGGAGACGGAAACTACTGTTACGCAATACCTAGGCAAGGCTANGCTAGACCAATTCTGAATCCACATCAAGAAGAGCAGCAAATACGAAAACTCTTAGGTATGGAGGACAATGGAGTCGGACAGCGTGGCTTAGTGTTCCATTCGCACAGAAAATAACATGCGGATCACGAAAAGCGGAGTTGGCCAGAAATCACATGACCGGTATGTGTCAGATTGATGCACACCATCACATGAAACCAAATGAGAGAAAACGAACAGTCAGGCAAACAGACACGTAAAAAAATAAAGTTGAACAAGCAAACAAATAAACAAACGAACAGACGACCGAACACGGGCAGTTACCATTGCTGGGGTGTGGGAACAGATTAACACAGGATCGACAACGTAGCACAGAGGAGNAGTTGAGGCCAGGCAGGGTTGACAAGCAAGCGGGCCTACACACAACACAAGAACACAATCATACAGTGGTTGGTGGAACAAAACTTGAAAAAATACGGTAACCGAACATATTCAAACTACAGGTGTGGTTATTATAGGTGAAGATGCTGTTGCTGCTGTTGTTATCCTTCTTTAGGTCAGACTACAAGCTCAATCAGCAAGGCATAACAGCACGAAGACGAGAGATTAAAAGTGGGATAGTGTGGGACAAACAGAGGGCGCAAGGGGGGGGGAGGAAATTCACAAAGAAACCCACCAATCGGGGCATGGAATACCATTGGTCGGACGATGTCTGCAGGAGCAGGGCGGAGACGAATCGGTGGGTAGACAAACAGGTAAACAGATAGACAAGTTGTATCAGGGTGGAGTAGAAACAGACCGGTAACACGAATAACAAGAAAGATCACGTTGGTGATGATGAGTAGCGGCAGCAAGTACAGCAAAAAACAACAGCGCCAGGAACAACAGCAGCAGCAGCAGCTTCATTGGTGACCTTAAGACTTAGATGGCGATCATAACAATTCTAGACCGAGTTAGCACTAAAAACGAATAAAACAAACGGTGGAAAATCGACTGTGTAAAACGAAAATATCTAGAATGATTGAGAATATCGCACCGAGGCTCCAGTTTCTACCGACCTGAGATAGTTTGCTTTGAGTTCAATAATCAAAGCAATCGAAGAATTGTTCCCTTTGTTAAAGCAGGTCACTCAACTCCATAGAAATCTCGGATGCCGCGTGGTACTGAAATGAAACAATATACACATTTTGTACCCCAATTTGGCAAGTCTCAGAAAACAAAGTGGTATGTTTGGTGTAAAGGGGTTTTAGTTACTGGAGGGTTTTAAGCCCAAAGGTCCGAGGTTCGAGCCTTACCATCGCTACCAAACTTAGGTGTTCTTCAGCTCGATGCAATTCCAATTCTAGTGGACTCTTAGGTGGTGTGTTACTCCAATTAACATGGTCTGCGTTACTGGTTTCCGTGACTGAACAGTAGACTCTCTTGATTAAAAAAATATCTCGAGTGTTAATAATCTCTTAAAAGGTGTGTGATAAAAGATCTACTTCAGGCTTACGAGAACCGGAAAAAATAGAATTCGAAATAACGAGAACTATAAAACCCTAACATAGAACTCGTAGCCAGACAACGATGCAGCTATTTGTTTTCTGAATAAACGTAGGAGCACGTTCGGGGCTTAACTTTGAAGCTACTTAAGCGATGCATACACCTAGAGTAACCCAATCCCTATCTATCTACTGTGTCAATTTAAAAACCTATACGGTATATTACGTCTTTAATCATACTCGATCAATGAAGTTGGGTATTCTGCAATGGTGCATTCAACTAACGTGTGGCGATCAGTTTCAGCAATACAAACAAACCATGTATGTAGCGACTCCAGAATAAAAAGGAACAAATTAGGGAATGTTGAGCAATCTCAGTAAGTCTACTTACGGCGGAATGATATACAGTCAGAATTAAAATGATAATGCATTTAAACAGTGTATTTGTGTTTGTTAGTCGCATCCAATTTGAGTGTGAGAGTGACAACCGGGTTTTAGGAGGATCTCAATCGAGAAGGGGGGAGCGGTGCAGAAAGTAAATGGGCAAAGTGAATGAATCCGAATTAGAGTAAAAACTGCCAATGACAAAGCGACTACCAGTTGACTCAGACTGAGGTTAGGCGTAGAGTTTTAGGTAATCGAGGTCATCCACTGGAGCAAGTAGTCGACCTCCATAGATTACGTTGGTTGGGGTATGTGCTGTGCATGTCACCGGATAAGTTGCCACCGTGAGCGATGTTCGCCGAGGCAGACAGTGGGTGGAAAAGAGCCAAGGGTGCTCAAGCTAAGACCTGGCATGAGGGTATGAAAACCCTAACCAGGAGTCTGGGTCACGTAGGTCCCGTTAAGCTCCCTGTATGGGGACCTCGGGATGATCGTACCCGATGGTTAGAGACACTCAGCGATATGACTGGGTGTTACAAACAGTGGCGCTCATGCAGGTCTTTGAGATATCAAGTGAGATTAAGTAGGTTTCTCCGTGGATATCTAGTGGAGCTGACCAGGATTATGAGACAAGAGCTGATGCACACAACAGGATCATTTTCATGAACCCCTTTCAATCAGCAATAAGTTCCATTCCTACATGGTCTTAAAATGGTATGGATTATCAAACTGCTCATTCTTTGCTAAACCCGTAGAGCTGAACCAAACATAACGTAATCCATTCGGTTGAAAAAAGATGGTTTCAAGGTGAAAAGCGGATTCTCATAGTAAAAAAAATTATTGCTGCATAAAGAACATTCACAAATTACACAGCATTACATAGGAAATTTTTTATAGACTGGCCATCAGTCACCACATTGACCAATGTGAGGACACTAAGAATAACCTGCAGCAATCTACCAGCAGAATCGCAAAAATATTCGACGGAAATGAACATCATTATTATCTAAAAGTTAGGTTGACTAGCTGGTGCATGGCAAGATGTTCGCATCACTCCAGTGCTTATTACTATTAATGCTCTTTCCTCTTCTGTTGATCGCTGAGAATGTTCAGGGTAATGTCTACGACGGTATCATCCCTTATATGCTAAATGAAATCATGGTGCAGTCCTTTCTCCTGCACGTTTTTGCCGTTCATAGTTCAAGTAAATCCACCGTCACTTCAATTACTCCCAACCGAAAGTATTCTATGGAGAATTGAAAAAGTCCAAAAATCTAAACAACTATGAAATCTATCGTTGTTTTCCTGAGAAGGACAGTTTTTACGTTCTTTGTTGAAACCAATCTCAGTGGTCTCCCATGTCCTCACCGTTATAAGCAGGCATGTAAAATGTCTACGAATGTCTCACGAACCCAGCGCAATGAGAATCAAATGGACGATATCGCTCTAGCCACGGACTGCTCTAAGAACTGCATTCGCCATTCCACTTGACTGATTATACCTTCCGGATTCCCTTGAAGGAGGCTCGAGTAATTATCACTCAAATCGCGCTTGACTTTGCTCTTAATCAAGCTCCACACATACTCTATCGGACTGAGCATTGGCGAGTATGGTGACATCCTCAGCAGCTTTACCTCAGTGAATATCTCCTCCAGTCTGTTGTGGCAAGGAGCATTGTCGCAAACGACAGTGATCTGCTTGATGGGTACCTTTTGCTGGAGCTGATCGCAATGTGTAATAAAAAATGTCATTTGTCGATGTCCCTTACGCAACAATACTTATTCTGAAAACGAGTAACCCTTTTTAACAAACAGGGCGACTTCGTTCTGTTTCGATCAGTTCTGTGGGCTGAACTAGGAATGGGCGAGGTACACTTAGGGTGTAACTGGTTTTGGTTGCTAAGCCATCGACGACAGCCAGCCCATTCACCCAAGTTCACCTCAAGAACTTCAACCTGTCACTGAACAAATATTGTTATTCGCATAGACCCATGATTCTCGTACATCGCTCGGAGTGCATCGTAAGCCCAAAACTCGTCCATGGTCGTAGTTACTGTGGTCAGCTTTGATTATTGAGCTATCGTCAATGTTAGAGCTACAAAGAAAACAAATGTACCTTAGCTGTAGTGGGCATGAAACAGTGCGTCACCCTTCATGCTTATCGGGTGTTATGCGGCGCAAATAACATGGCTTCACCGACCCACCGATTCGACGTCCGTCACAGAGCTCGATAAGATGCACGACTGAGGTCTGCCTCATTTCAACACAGAAAGAGCGTGGGAAGACAGGAGGTCAATCCAGGTGAGTAGGAAAATGTGTGATCAATTGATCAATGCGGTGCGTTGAAAAGAAGCGGATCCAACCACAGCGATTTTTCCTCAATTCCACGTTATGAGTTCTCTATTCAAAATGACGATTCCGCAAATGAAAATTACAGTTTATCAAATCTAACTTAAAATGGTATAGTTCAATCGATAATTCATTCAACAAAACAGTTGACATCCCAAAGACCGATGCAGGTCAACGTACTTTTACTGGCTAATTACAGAACACAAACTACACGGGTTTATCATTTTTTGTCATTTTCGAAATGCAACATTTTGGACAAAAGGACCCTATGTGTGTGTGGGGAGGGGTTGGAATCAACACGAGAAACTGCACTACGCCTAGGCAGCACAGGGAATGGGTTCCGAACGTGGTCGAAACCAGTGCACGTGACCTAGCTAGCACGAACAGAAAGCATGATG